TACAGTCATACATGTATTTGAATATACATTTGGATATATATATGTGTATTTATATGTTTAGAAAGTATGTGTTAAAATCTATTAGAGCTAAAATACAAACTCAGGAAATAGTAATGTAAGTCAGATGACCACAGTTATCTAATTACAAATTCATTTGTTTAGAATATTGACTCACCAAAATTTTTGCGTCTTTAACATTTTTCTTAGCTTTTTTCATGCTTATCTGTTCCATTACAGTAGTACTACTGAGAATAATGAATTTATTGCATGAAACTTGGTTTTTTAGAAAACATTTTAAAAAGTTACATGTAAATTAAACCTCATCTTTTTTCCAACGTATATTTCATTTTCTGAAGTCTGTCATGAGCTTTCCGTTGGCAGGAACTCCAAAGACTTCTGTTTTAAGTTACTTTCTGTGAAGAAATGTAGCAGAGGTCACTAACTTTTTTAAGTCAAAGAATACTATTTTTAGTGAGAATGACTGCCTTCCCGACTATGAGTTCTTTTGTAACTCTTAATTTTATTTTTAGGAATATTCTTAAAGTAAGTATATCTGATAAAAGATCTGTGGGTGGATCCAATTTTTGTTTTTTTGTTTTTTTGTACTTAATGTTTTTATCAGTTGCACAAACCGAACTGGCTAAAGGGGTCAGGCTTGTCATGTTATTGAGAGAAACTTGTTATTGAGAGAAACTTGGTGTCAAGTATTTGAGTGGACAGTGTGTATGTGAAGGTGACTGTCACGAGGGGACATAGCTCCTAGGCCCCAGTTCTTCTTGCCAGGCAGGGGACAACCCCACTGTTGCCTAGTCTTCCTAGCTTTCAAGAACAGGTGTATTGATTTTTATGTTAAACCTTACTGGTTTTCAACATCAGCTCAGTTTTATAAAAACATGGCTCAAAAACTATGTGAGTCAAACAAAACTCGTGGGGACCAGATTTGCCCGTGGCCTGCAGTGGGTCCTTTCTGGTCTACAGACTGCAAACTCTTTTTTTTTTTTGCACCTTGGACAAGTAGAACACAGCTTTCAGCTGTTGCAGCGTCTGAGATTGTCAGGTAACTACGGTCAGGAGGCTCTTTATGACAGCACTGGGTGGTTTAGGTCAAGGGCACCGTTAAGATCGGAAAGGTAGGTGCTAGAGTCTTAAAGGCTTTAAATTCCTTTAAATCTTATTTCCCCTGCTACACCACAGGCCTCGGGGGGCAGAATTTTCATTTCTCTTGTGGCACTGTGTTTTGGTATCAGCCCCCAGGCTTGGTTCTGGCTGGTTGATTAAAAACCACCTGAAAAGCCTCTTGAGACAAGGTGGGAAGCAGACTTTTCAGTGTTTACTCATTGTGCCTTTTGAATTTGGCATCATATGAATGTATCACTTATTCACTAAATAAGTTTGAGTATAAAAATACAGATGGATGCCAGGGTCTCACGTCAGCTGTTGTAAATCAGAATCTCTATGGGAGCGGGGAAGGGGGAATTTACAAATCTCTATTTGAAAGCTTCCTGGGTGATATTGATGCATAGCCAGGTTGGGGAACTACCGTCCCAAAGCATATAGTTAGGTATTCAGTAACCATCTGTTCAAAGGAGGAATGAACTCTTACCTTCTTCCTGTGGCATTTAGCCTGATGCCTTGTACTTAACAGTTGTTTAGTAATTACTGGCAATGGGAATTAAAATAAATTTTGAAGTCAGATAACCCCCCCAACCCACGCAATCCCATTTTCTTGGCAGCGGGTGCAGCCATCTACCTTTCCCCAGGCTCTCACTCTGGGCTGGATGGGCTGCTTCCCACCTGGACCACCAGGATGGCCTAACTAGTTGGTCCTCCTCAACCAGCTTGCCTCCATCTGGTCCCTTCAGCACACTGCAGCCTGAGTGGTTTTTTTTTTTTTCTTCTTAATTCAAATCTGTTAATGCCTTTCATTTTATTACCTGCGGTAAAACATTTACTGTGGGGAGTCCTTTAGAGCCCTTTATGATCTGGTCTGACCCTTCCTTTCCTAGCCCATCTCATTCAACAGAGAGGTGCTGGGGCCTGCCGTGTGCCCTGCACTGCTACAGACCCTGGGGACAGAGCAGTGTACACACCCTCTCCTGACCTCACACGCTCGCCAGCCCCTGAATACGGTATACTCTTGTCAGTTTTTGTTTTGCCCAGTGTTCCTTCTGTTTAGAATGCCCCTCCTACACCCTGCGTGTATTTATTCATTGAGGCCAAGCCTTGCAGAGCCCCTGTAAGTAATAAATCGTTACCTCATCTTCTGACATTTTGCACATACCCTTAGTGCACGGCCTACCATCACGGATTCCAGCTATTAGCTGACAGTTATCTTTCTTCCCCTAGCCTCTGTGCTCCTCAAGGGCAGAGACTTGACTTAACTCTCCTCAGTACCTCCTACTCTGAGCACTGTGTCTGACCATGGGAGGCGTTAGCATACTTGCTGGATAAAATTGATACAAGAGTGGAGTTTTTGTGTGTGTGCCAAAAAGGCAAATCAAGGTGTTACCTGGTAACTATAATTTGTAAAGGATTTCTGCCATGCAATAGTAGATAGTCCTCTGAAAGATGTCATACTTGGATTTTCCAAAGTTATGAGGATGTTTTAATGACATATATAATGATCCTTTCTATTATATATGTTATTCTAACTATAAGTGAGACTAAGATATTATCCAATGTTAACAGTTGGCTTTTTGCTAACCATTCCAATTGAACAATCTAAGAGAAGAATTGTAGAATCACACAGAAGTGAGTGGGGCTTATAATCTGACACCCTACAGTAATTAAAACAGCTTGATGATGTAAAATACTGTATTCCCCAAATGGAGGAAGAGCCTAATGGAAGCTTCAAAGTGCGGTGAAGTGGGATGTTTTGGAAGAAGCAGTAATTTTGAGGTGGAAGGACAAAATAGATGACATCAGCATAGAACTAAGTCAAGACCGAAGCCACCTTTTGAAGCACATAGCATGTGTTTTGCCAGATCTGAGACTATCCAGTCAGGCCAGATAAAGAATGGAAATAATGTATGACCTTTAGGGAAACCAAATAGAATAAGAATGTATGAGTCAGGGGAGAAGTTGAACCCTACAGGGGTCCAGAAACAGAGAGACCTCAAAGAATGCAAAAGAAACAGGAGCAAAGTACGTTATTGACCTATAATCCAAAGAAGGACAGACTCCTGAGATCTGTTCGGGGGTGACCCTCTCTCCCTTTGGGATCACAGAAGAAGCCATAAAAATTGCATTTCATTTCCTTTGTACTTATAGATTTAATCCCCAGACTTCCAGAAAAGATTGATGGAAGATTATCATTCAAGGCAGGGTAAACAAGAGTAGAAAATCTAACATGAAAGACAGTGAGACAATTGCCACGCCAGAAACCCAGGCCCACAATGACTACAACAGTTGATGATAAAAATTCATTCTAAGTTTCCTTGTCTTGAGAATTAAAAGAGAAACATGGGAAATATATTGTTTCCATTATCTGAGTTAAATAATTTGTTAGTAGAAATGTACTTTTTCCTGTGGCTGAATGAAATAATTTATCAAATGGACCCTTGTATAAAGGATGCTGAATAACATAATGGGCAGCGCTTATGATAGCTTTACAAAAAAGTAAAAAGAAATTCTTTATGTGGCCATCTGGTCTCTTCAACGTAATACATTCTGTGAGCTAAATGTTATACTACAGTGCTAGGAAGATATTGCCACTGGGAGTTAAAGAAATACCATCAAGCTCTATGGCTTTCTGGATGTCACTTGATAAGGGATAGAGAGACTGGATGAATAGCTAGTTAGTAAGTCCTGTAGAGCTGAGGGGTTTTTTTTTATTTAAACTGCAGGGATGATGTGTTAGTGTATAGTGAAATTAGTTTAGTGAGTTGCTGTTAGCATTTTTCAAATGAAAGGTAAAAGAACAGAACAGAATGTATCACGCACAGTAAGGGTCCAGTTTTCATTTCATTTGTGTCATAGGTCACTGATGTACCATGTATTTATTGTGGGTAAGTACGAAGCCACTGCTTTTGACTATTCCCCACAAGAATATTTGTTGCTAGGCTCTGGCCATTCCAGGCTCATTCTAGAACACATATAGAGAAGAATACCAAGAACTAGGCTTTGGAGAAAACAGAAATAGGATCCTCAGAGCAGAACAAGAGCCACTGCGCCTTTAAGTTGTGCTAATTTAGGAACCTGTGACTAAACTCAGTGTTGTAGACTCAGAAACATACTTTCCCGATTCCGTTTTTTGTTTGCCTTCAGTAATACCTCACAGAGACTTTTGAAAACCCAAATCTACTTTGGCTGTAATGAAAGGGAAATCAGAGAAGGAACAGTCCCCACAAGGGCCAGAAGCACAGAGGGGCAGGGTGCCCTTGCTGGTCAGACTCGGTCATGCAGACTGAGACTTGGCACTGAGAGACCCTTCGGAGCCACACATGAGGAAGGGCTCCTCTGGATGTTGCTGCTTCTCTAAGCAGGCAATACCTTTACGTACGGGTACTGTTTACTTAGAGAAAAGGTTTCTAAAAATCATATTCCTGCTTCATGAATTGTTAGGATCAGATTATCAGGACTATCTCTGAAAATAGATAGGAGGCTTGTGACAGGTCCATGGCATTGCTCAGCTCTAGGAGTTCAATGCAGCAGCCCTGAGTGATGATAAGACCCTTAACATTTGCGAGGGGAAAACCTCCTCCCCCCAAATTTGGACATGTACATATAGCTACATCTTTGGAGAAAGGAGAAAGAGTTCTGGGAGGATTTCCAACGATAACAATTCTTAGCAACAGTCTGAGAAACAGGCCAGGGCAGGATAAAGATTTAGCTTCTCGTGTTGATTCCATGTCTTGGAAGCAACAACAGAATTAGATAAAAACTTTTATGTTCACACAAAACAAAAAAAAAAACGTTTTTCAAAACTGGTTGAAAATAATTTAGAAATAAAGAAGCTACTTGTGGAATCATCTCTAACCATTTCTCTCCTCTTGTTTCAGATGACAGTCATGTCCCTTTCCAGGGACCTCAAGGACGACCTTCACAGTGACACAGTGCTCTCCATCTTAAATGAGCAACGCATCCGGGGCATTTTATGTGATGTCACTATAATTGTGGAAGACACCAAATTTAAAGCCCACAGCAATGTCCTGGCCGCTTCAAGCCTTTATTTCAAAAACATCTTTTGGAGCCATACAATCTGTATTTCCAGCCACGTCCTGGAGCTGGATGATCTCAAAGCCGAAGTGTTTACAGAAATTCTTAATTATATTTACAGCTCCACAGTTGTCGTCAAGAGACAGGAAACAGTCACCGATCTTGCAGCTGCAGGAAAAAAGCTGGGAATATCCTTCTTGGAAGATCTCACCAATCGCAACTTCTCAAATTCCCCAGATCCCTACGTATTCTGCATTACTGAAAAGGGAGTGGTTAAAGAAGAAAAAAATGAAAAAAGGCATGAAGAACCAGCCATCACTAATGGGCCACGGATCACAAATGCATTTTCTATCATTGAAACAGAAAATAGTAATAACATGTTTTCTCCACTAGACTTGAGGGCAAATTTCAAGAAGGTCTCTGACTCCATGAGAACCGCTAGCCTTTGCCTAGAGAGGACTGATGTCTGTCATGAGGCGGAGCCTGTCCGTACCCTCGCGGAGCACTCGTATGCCGTTTCTTCCGTGGCCGAGGCTTACCGAAGTCAGCCTGCATGTGAGCGAGCTAGCAGTTCGCCCAGTAAAGCAGGTAAAGAAAACGGTGACGCTCTTACAGCAAAACCGAAAACATGCCGAAAGCCAAAGACACTCTCTGTACCCCAGGACTCTGATTCAACCACAGAAAAGATACCGCCCCCTCTAGTAACCCATGCAGAGGTTAATCAAGAAAGAAGTCCGCAGCCAGCTGCGGTTCCTTCTGGTTCAAAGTCTCCCAACAATGAAGGCGATGCCTGTCTTTCCAGGGAAGATGAAACTAAATCCTCTGACGTCCCTGGGCCGCCAGCAGCAGAGATCCCACCTCTCGTTTACAATTGTAGCTCTTGCTCCAAATCCTTTGACAGTAGCACTTTGCTGAGTGCCCACATGCAGCTCCATAAACCAACCCAGGAGCCTTTGGTATGCAAGTACTGCAACAAACAGTTCAGCACCCTGAACAGATTAGATCGGCACGAGCAGATCTGTATGAGGTCAAGCCACATGCCCGTTCCGGGAGGAGATCAACGCTTTTTAGAAAACTATCCTACCATCGGACAAAATGGAGCTGCCTTCACAGGTCCAGAATCGTTATTATCCGAAAACAGGATTGGTGAATTTTCCAGCACCGGAAGTACTTTGCCAGAAATGGACCACATGGTTAAATTTGTGAATGGGCAAATGCTCTATAGCTGTGCTGTATGCAAACGTAGTTATGTGACTTTATCCAGTCTCCGAAGACATGCAAATGTTCATTCATGGAGAAGAACGTACCCTTGCCATTACTGCAACAAAGTATTTGCATTGGCTGAGTACAGGACAAGACATGAAGTTTGGCATACGGGAGAAAGGCGCTATCAGTGCATTTTCTGCCTGGAAACTTTCATGACCTACTATATACTCAAAAACCATCAGAAGTCTTTCCATGCCATAGATCATAGACTCTCCATCAGTAAGAAAACAGCAAATGGAGGCTTGAAGCCCAGCGTCTATCCATATAAACTTTATAGGCTACTGCCTATGAAATGCAAGAGGGCTCCCTATAAGAGCTACCGAAATTCTTCCTTTGAAAACTCTCGAGAAAACAGTCAGGTGAATGAGTCTGCACCTGGTCCCTATGTTATTCAGAACCCACGCAGCTCTGAATTACCTGTCCTGAATTTCCAAGACAGCGTAAACACCTTGACCAAAAGTCCAACTGTCCCACCGGAAACATCCACATGTCAAGACGGATCCACTTCTGCCAATGTACAAAATGCAGAGGGGACCAAATGGGGAGAGGAGACATTGAAAGTTGATCTTGACAATAACTTTTATTCAACTGAGGTGTCAGTGTCTTCCACTGAAAACGTCGTCAGTTCTGAGCTCCCAGCCGGGGATGCGCCTGTCCTGGCTCTGAGTAACGGCGGTGAGAACTCAGCCTCTGTCATCAGCTACAGTGTCTCAGCACCCTCGGTCATTGTGCACAGTAGCCAGTTTTCATCGGTGATTATGCACAGCAACACTGTGGCTGCCATGTCCAACAACAACCACGGACCCCCTTCAGATGTGGCTGTCAGCCTGTCCATGAAAGACGACAGCAAACCTGAGCCGGACAAAGCAGGGAGAGTTGTCAGCCGACCCAAAAGCTTTAAGGAGAAAAAGAGAACCGTCCCATGTAACCGGGGAGAAGCACCCGAGGAGTCGAGATACGATGCTGATCCTGGAGGATCGCTGAGCAAAACCGCAAATGTCATCAAAGAAACCAGTAAAATCGAAACCTACATTGCAAAGCCTGCTCTCCCTGGAACCTCCACAAATAGCAATGTCGCCCCCCTTTGCCAAATAACGGTCAAAATTGGGAACGAAGCCATTGTGAAAAGGCATATCCTGGGATCTAAACTGTTCTATAAAAGAGGGAGAAGACCCAAGTGTCACATGAAGGAGGAGAGTTTGCCACAAGAGAGTGACCCAGAGACCAACGGAGAGAGCCCGCTTGGGCTTTGCCAATCCGAGTGTGTGGAGATGAACGAAATGTTTGATGACGCGAGTGACCAGGACTCTACCGACAAGCCATGGCGCCCTTACTACAACTACAAACCCAAAAAGAAATCCAGACAGTTGAGAAAAATGCGGAAGGTCAGCTGGAAGAAAGAGCATGAAAACAGGAGCCCCAGCAATAAGTATAAATACCCGGCAGAACTGGACTGTGCTGTGGGGAAGTCTCCTCAGGAGAAGGCCTTCGAGGAAGAAGAAAATAAAGAGATGCCCAAGTTGCAGTGTGAGCTCTGTGATGGAGACAAGGCCTGGGGGGCTGGAAACCAGGGAAAGCCCCATCGGCATCTCACCGCCAGGCCCTACGCCTGCGAGCTGTGCGCCAAGCAGTTCCAGAGTCCTTCCACGCTCAAGATGCACATGAGGTGTCATACCGGAGAGAAGCCGTACCCGTGCAAGACCTGTGGACGGTGCTTTTCCGTGCAAGGAAACTTGCAGAAGCACGAACGCATCCACCTGGGCGTGAAGGAGTTCATCTGTCAGTATTGCAACAAGGCGTTCACGCTGAATGAGACCCTCAAAATCCATGAGAGAATCCACACTGGCGAAAAGCGCTACCACTGTCAGTTCTGCCTTCAGAGTTTTTTGTATCTCTCCACAAAAAGGAATCATGAGCAGAGGCATATTTGGGAACATAACGGGAAGGGCTATGCCTGTTTCCAGTGCCCCAAAATCTGCAAAACAGCTGCTGCCCTTGGAATGCACCAGAAGAAACACTTATTCAAAAGCCCAAATCAGCAGGAGAAAATAGAAGGTGATACGTGCCACGAAAACTCAAATCCGCTGGAGAATCCACATTTCATGGATTCAGAAGACAATGACCAAAAGGATAATGTACAAACCATTGTTGAAAATGTCCTTTGAATGGCGACACTGGGGGGGAAAAAAACTTCAAACCATTAAAGTTGTGGGTTTGGTTTTTTTAAATTTTTTCTTAGTTAGCTGTTTTCTTTTTTTGTTTTAAAGCTTTGGTTTGTTCACGTAATAGTCATGAAGGAGTGAAATGTAAAAAATAGAAAATCTCATTTGTGAAAATTCCAGAAAAAGGATCCTACTCTCTACTTTGGGTTTTAGCATTAACTTCTCGCAAAGTGCACAAAAACAAAATAGCTGACTCCGCCAATATCCCAAGTATCTTGTGAAAGTTTATGAAGTTCTTAGCTGTGGTATTGCTGCCAGTGGAAAATCAAGAGTTTAATTTTAGACTAATTTAAAACTTTCTGGTAAGTGCTAATAGGAACTGGCTGCTGAACTGTCTTTAGTCACTGGAGAAAATAAGGGTCAGCCATCATGAGAATGTCATCTTCACAAGTAAAAGGTAAATGAGCTATAACAGTCATTATTCCCATCCAGCTTCTGCACTGTTAAAAATTGTTTAAATTTAATGGATACATATGAAACAATAATATAGCTAAAATACGTGTGAAATGAGTAACCTAAGTAGGACATTCATACTACATTAGAACTTTCTGCAACACAAATCTTGTAAAATACATAGATAAATCACTATAACTTTTAACTGTCCATGTCCCCTGTAGATAATTATAATGAGGAGCAGTAGATCTGCAAATCATGAGGACGGATATAAAAATCAGTAGAAAGCATTTTGAATATGACTTAAGAGCATGTATATGCTTTTAGAGGGAATGCTGTTCTCTTGAAGTTATGGCTAAGGCTGTTACTAGAACTGGTCTATTCAAGTCATAGAAAACATAGGTCATACCTTATCTATGGGAGAAAGCCTTCCCAGAATTAACTGTGATTTACCTGTGCTGTGTATAATATTACTTTGCAATGGCCTCACCTCAGAAAATAAAGAAGGGCCAAATTCTTCTGAAACTCCCAGCAGTCTTCCATCTATAACAAGGCCATAAATCTGGAGGTCTATTCCAGGCTGACTTAACCAATTTTCAAGGGTTCAAGTAAAACCTGACACCTCCCATTCCACTGAAGGAGCATTTAGGAAATTGAGCGCAAGGCACGCGTGCAGTAGTGAATTCCCAGGCACTTGAAAGTGACGAAAATCCTAATATCTACAACGATTAATTAGCCTTTTTGGAGATTGTGTAGCCCACAAGTATATACTAGTATAAAACAAAAGGACAATAGAAACACACACCCCCTCCCCACCCTTTAAGGACTTGAGGGGGCAAGAGGAAGTGAGGATTTTCCTTGCCTCAGACAGTAGCTTTGTTTGGGGTGAGGATGGGGGGACAGAGTGTGGAGTGATAAGGCCCCATCACTTACATGACTCAGAAATATATCCACAAAGCCAGATGCCTTGTCTTCACGTTTGCAGACATCTAGCCCCCTTGCTAAAAACCCACTTCAGTTTTTGTAATGTTCTTTTATGCTGACCACACCATCCATATTGCCCTCAAAGTCTAACTGCCCTCTAGGGTATTCCACCATCTGGACTAGGTTCCTGGGAAGCTGGAACTCGTGATCTTACTTTTTAAACTGCCAGAATAGGAAGGAGAGAGAAAACGTTCCTACCCTTTGATCACCAGTATGAGCAGAATCCGGAAACCGGTTTAAGGGCAACCTGCAGCCATTCACGTTCATGGGATTTGATAGATGGAAACCAAGGTTACCCAAGGTTGCAGGGTTGCCATTATGAAGAAGTAGCTCGAAGGACTCCGGTTTCTCCCTCCAAGTGTTGTGATATCTCCATGAAGAAGACTTGATACGGATTTGGGTGGGCAAGAAAACAAACACCCAGAAAAGGACATGATCAAAGCTGACCTTTTTATACTGTAGTACTTTGCTGTTAAGAAACCCCAATATTGTATCTGCATTTATCTTTTGTTCATCTACTTTCACATACATACAGTATTATGTAATAGAGGAAAAGGGGAAAATGCAAGTGAATTCAACTTTATTTTATACATTGTATATATGTATACCTGCACTATTCATTTGGGTTTTGTTAAAGAGGTAGTTACAAAGGGCTTATGAAAATCATTTTTTAATTGATAATTAGGATATTGAATAAGCAATCCTTTGATCTAATAATTTGTTTTATCTCAATTAGGATTATGAATCAAGGAAAATTGCTGTTTATTTTAGTCATTTTGATTTGAGGTAACTCCAAATATAAAATTATTACATGTAGTGATGTCTCCCTGCCCTTACATGTGGATATTTTTTAAGTGGACTTGTATGCTGATAATTCTAGACCAAAGTAAATATGGCAGAATATTTATACATGAAAAAATAATTTTGCAAATATTTTCTATAATTGTATTATTCGTTTAAAATGTTGACAGCTTGTGTTAGTTTCAGGGAGGGGTGTATATTTTGATAAAAAATACTTGACTTTGTAATTCTGTATATTCTATACAATTTATAGCAGAGCCGTTTTAAGACAGCCTTGTCACATTTTTTTGTTAATTGTGAAAACTTTATTATGAGTGATGTTTAAGTATGCATTGAGTATATAACGACCAACTAGAATTAAAGTAAGTGTAAACAGTGAACATACTGTATGCTGTACAAGATATATTGTAATTTGCTGTTCTAGCATCTGTATTTTGGTTAGACAATACTATTAAATGCAGATGTAAAGGGTTGGAAAAGTCTAATTTTATTTTTAGAAATAATGAATATAAATTTGGTTTTGCTTGATTAAAATAGCTTGTTCCTATGTTAAGTCTCCTTTTAAATGTTTTAATGTTAATTCTTTTGTGCAGCCAAGAAGCTATTTCATCTGTGGGAGTCACAGCATTGTTTCGCTTATTATTCATTCAGTACATCTCTGTCTCGTTACTTGTTTACTTTCCACTTTACCTACTTACATGCGTAGTACTCAAATGGAATATGACATTAAAAAAAAAGGCAGAATAAGAGCGATTGAAGTCTTCTGGTAATTGAGTGCTTTGAATAGGCCTGATCTGATGATAAATCAGAGAGTGTTGGAAGTATTCTGCTATACTTATTCAGAGGAAGCAAATTACCCTTGTGGGTTACCAGGTATTTGACAGTGGCCCTTATGTGGGCTATTTCCTTCAGTCCTTCCTTGACAACCTTGGAAAGTAGATGTCATTATCCACGTTTTATAGTGACTGAGAAGACCCCAGAGCCAGGATTACAACCCAGGGCTGCCTGATTCCAAAGCCCATGTTTCATTCCTTCTCAACATCTTAGAGAAAAATGCTTCATGTAAACTGAAGAGAGTGAGGAGACATGACAAAGTATTGCAGCTTTAGGATGGTCATGGTCACAACAGCATCAAGGAGGCTGTGTTAGGCTCAACTTCCCCAGACTCACTGCTAATTTATTTCCTGAGACCTCAATACTTTGGGCATTGGGCTTTTTTTATATCTTGGGATATTGCCCTATAAAATCAGTTTTTAAGAGTTTGTATACTTTCTTAAAGGAATATGGAGTAAGATTATAATTTAATATTATTAGCTAGTAATCTTTTATAAGCCAGTAATTTTTCACATAAAAATAATCAGGTCCCATCATCACAGACTGTCCTCCTAACCTTAGCTATAATAATCTGCAAACGCATGCAGTTAGTCACTGTGGGTAATGTGAAAGAGTGCCAGTGGCTCAAGCAGCAAAATTCATGATCAAATGGATTGTGGAAAATAATTCAAATTTCCAGTCCTACTACTGGTTGGCCAATAGTGTCAATTTTGTATTTTAAGGGCAATCCAAACCTAATTTCTCCAAAAATAGGATAACTGCTATCTGCTACAACTAACTTTATTTCTAGCAAAACAACAGATTTAATATTGAAAGAATTTGTAACAAGGAAGTATATATTAAAAGTATAAAAACAAGCCACGCAAAGCAATCCTGTCTGTACATATTCTTGTAAGTACTTTGGGTCTTTTCATTCCTATTGCTCCTTTTCTCATCACCTAGTCATTGATTTAGTTCCACTCCCTCAGTCTCTTATCAGTTCCTCTTTGCAGAGGCAATGATATTTCTACTTCAGTTTCCTCCATATCTAAGAGCTCTTCACCTGCCCAAATCCTGGTCATCTATTAATCTCCCTTCTGGAGACAGCATCCCCCTTTGGCCCTCTCTCTCTCCCCAGTTTGCACCCCTTGATCCTGATTCTTCAAGCAGTGAGTGAGCAGGCAATGTGGCTTGGTGTGCAATTTCTAAAATGAAACACTTCAACTTTAGACAAGTGATAGA